AGTGATCTTCACAACTAGGACTGTCATAGTTTAGCTCTTATGAACTGATGATCAGTTGTTTCGAACTAAAACTGTTACAGTCCTATTCACAAAATTGAGCAACATTTGGAAATATTACACGAGCAGTTAGTTCTATTTCAATGCTAATCACAAGCAAATTAAATAGATATGATAAGAATGAAACTTTTATATCTACCATTTAACCTCGAATAACCACAGTATTGTATATAGCAGTTAGTCACAGTTTCAAAAACCGCGATGTACTGCGGTCCGAAAACAATGGTGATTTACTGTTCCTTGAGAAGGCCTCGGAAGTCAGACCGTTTATTCAGTTTTAAGAAACTGCGGCGTACCGCAATTATGTGTTTCTTTCATTGCATATTCAAGTATGATGGAATGTGCAAGGATGAGAAGAATATCGTGCCTACTATTTCTAAGAAAATTTCATATATTCAGATAATCAATCTGATACTATAAAGTCATTTTGTGGTAATGGAACTTGAAAAAGTTCGTTATATAGACCCTCGAAGGGCGACCATCCTGAATTTCGGTAGAAGTTCAGGCGATTTTTCTGGCCTACAATCAGACCTGATCCATATGATATGATTAGAAAAAACCGCGATTTCCATCGATTTTAAAAAGACGAATAAACGGTCAGACTCTCACGACCTAGAAAACCGCAGTTCGGTATATCGCTGTTTTTTCGCAATTTTTTTCCTGTGAGTAGTGGTGACATGGGTAGAATGCGTTTAAGAATTATTTATTCAAGATGTAGAAAAAAAAGATTCTCGTTAAAACATTGGTTGAATACTATTAAGAAATGGTTCTAGCATCTGGTATGAACCATCTCACCAATTGCAGTAGAATTTTTTCCTCTGAATTTTTATCAGTCGATACAAATTTTCAACGATTTCTATCGTAATAATCAACTTTTCAATCAAAATAGATTAACCATAGAGAACGTTAAAAAGAATACACGTACAGATCGATACCATTGTTGTGTATCGATTTCGAAGAAGTTATTCACTCTAATTGAAAAGTCGATTATTACGACAGAAATTGCTGAACATTTGTATCGACTGATATAAAGTTCAGAGAGAACAAAGTCTAATGCAATTCATATGATGATTTATATTATATGCTCACATCTTTTTTTAATAGTTATTCAACTAACGCTTTAATAAGAATCTTTTTTTTTTTACATCCTTGATAAATAGTTCTAAAATAGGCTTCAGAAATATTTGTTACGGTCTACCTGTCGATATATAACTCATTTGATTCGCATTAAAATTAGGTAATTACAGGTTCCGTATATAATATAAGGCATAGTTCCTAGGATCATATTCGTTCTTTAAGTCACACTAAGCTTTTTCATTCTAAAAAAAAAGATTGTTAACTGCCTGCTATTTTTTTTCTACCTATGAAATTTTCATCTGAATTCAATTGTAAAAGTTTCATTAGTAAAAGAAAATATCTATCAACCAGCGATGTGTACTATCTTCTGACAGTAGCTATGATTTACTTATAGGTGGCTGGATCACCGAAGAAAAGTTTCGAGATCTCTAAAAAGGCTTTCTGGCGATGACCGCCTACGCCATTCGCATCTCATTATTAAATTGTAATTAAACAAATAATTTGTTTTGATGATCTAACTGTGCATATGTATTAATGTAAAATCTTTTTTGTTTCCTTTAAATATTTAGTTTATTACCTCGTCGTGCATCATCAAAAGATGGTCGTCGTCATGTTAATACTGCTCCAGTACGTCTTCGTCGTGCTCGAAATGATGATCATGCAAAACATGAAGATGGTCATTTCTCTACAGCAACAATACGTTATATAAAAGATTTAGCTTCAATATTTGGCAATAATTGTGTTTTTTATTTATCACAAGATGATAAATGTAAAGTTCCATTAGGTTTACCTGCGGCTAGAATTCAAGCATCAATTTTAATGCATTTGGATTATCGAATACGTTTACCAGATCATGATTGGGTAGTTGCACCTCGACATCAATTAATACCAAGTGTATATACTGGATGTCTTTTATCTAAAGATGGAAATTTAGGTTATTCAGGTCCAACATATATTGCTATACGTTCAGCTAAACATGATCTATCAACTGCTGAATCTCATACAATAGATTTTGATCGTCTTGTTTGTTTAAAAGAATTTGAAAATGTAGCACGTGATGAAACTGGACAAGTTAAACCAATTGTTATTATTACTGTTGATGGTGGTCCTGATGAAAATCCACGTTTTCCAAAAACACTTGTTGCAAGTATTAAAAAATTTAAAAAATATAATTTAGATGCACTCTTTGTTCTTACACATGCGTAAGTTTTTTTATGTATTTTAATATTAAAAGAAAAAAACTATTTGAATATACATATATATTTTTGTTTTTCTAAGTCCTGGCCAATCAGCTTATAATATAGTTGAAAGTCGTATGGCACCATTATCTCATGATTTAGCTGGTCTTATATTACCGTATGATCATTTTGGTTCACATTTAAGTGATTCAGGTGTAACAATAAATATTGATTTAGAAAAATTAAATTTTCGTAAAGCTGGACAAATCTTAGCTGAAACATGGAATCGAACTGTTATTGATGGATTTCCATGTTTTGCTGAATATATTAATCCACCGGTGACATCAGAAGATGAACGACGACGAATTGATACTAAAATTATCATAGATGAACTTTTACGAAAGTTAATATTATTCTATTGGTTTTCTTTATTTAATTGAAATCGTTTTTCTTTTTTTGTTTTTAAAATAGAATCTCTGCTGAAGAAGAAGCAGAAGAAGGATACGAATTTCGTGTTCATGCATCGGATGAATATTATGAAGAAAATACTCGTGTACGAAGAGAAAATTTGAGTGAGCAACTAAGATATGATATTGATGAATATTGGTGTGCTATACATGTTTTACAAACACAATATACTTTACAAATTATTCGTTGTAATTCAATTGAATGTTGTGGTCCATGGCGTTTAAATTATACTCAAGTATTTCCTCATCGATTTTTACCATCACCTGTACCATTTGAACGTTCCATCTATGGTATTAGAATGGCTGAGAAAGATTATCAGAAAGGACAATTTTATGGATCATTATTTCAACGAATTCAATTTCATGGCATTGTCATTCAGCATACTCAGGTTAAGTAAAAAATTCTACCATCATAATATATATATGTAGACAAACAAAGAAATAGGAATTATGATAGAAATAAGATTAAACCGTTCATGTAGCGGAACCTTATTCAATCTAAATTTTGATTTTTCTCATATTATCAATATTTGCTGATAAGACATCGATTGACTCTACTTGAGTATTTTATTCACTAGGTGCAAAGGTGTTGTTGTGCCGAAATTAAGCAAAGACAAGTCCTCATATCTCATCTTTTTTTATATACAAAAATGCTTCCAATTTCGATTTTCAGCAAACATGAATAAGACTTATGCCATCGATGTATAACAATAACAAACAAAAATGAAGTCAGCTGTTCATATTTGCTAATCGATCAGTCTCTAAGTAGAAAGAAAAAGAAATCTTTTGTTATATCACTAAATTAATCCTCATTGTTTACTTCATGTTATTTATAAACAAAACAACTTTTTGTTTTTGTTTAGAATGAAATGTTACCATTTGATTATTGTTGTCCTTCAATAAAAAAAGAATTAAAAAAACGTACATGTAAAGTATGTAACCAATATATTCCATCAGCATATCGTATGAAAAATCACTATAAAATTCATGCACAACATTATGAAGATTTTGATCATGATCAAGATGATATATTACCACCACTAGCAATAGCTGATAGGCAAAGAAATTTAAATGAAAATCAATCAACAACAACAACAGCAACATCTACACTTAAAACAGACATTTTAGATTGGCTTCAATCAGATTTTGATAAGTATGATTAGAATCTAGCACGAACTTAACTTGAGAATGATCATGATATATATTCAAGAAAAAAAGATGAAAATGTCAATGATGACCTTGCGGATATCGAATAAAATTATTCAATAGGTTTTTGATATGAACAATATCTTCACTTTTAATTCTTATTTCAGTTTAGCTTTTTCTAATGTATTTTGTTGGTATGATTAACTGTTTTTGAATTTCTATGTTGTTTTTTTTTGTCTTTAATTTTGCAGCTCCATAAGAAATTTTTTTATAAAAAGAAAGTGGTTTAACGTACTACAAGATATCCTCTTAGTTTATAATGAACATAAATACTTTTCAAAATATTGAAAATAATGCAGAAGATTTAAATTTATTTTTCATATACGAAACAATGCTTTTTTTGTATACGCACGCTTTGTTAGTATTACGAAACAAGCAACGCTATTAAATTTTTAGAAATTTTAATAAAACTCATTGTTCTATGCATACAGATTAATTTCTCATAAACAATATCTATTAAACAGATAGATAGTGATTCACTTAAGCGAGTACAACTAATTGTGATCATTAACCATGTATTGGCTTTTATGAATGCATTCTGTGTAATGAGAAATATAAGAATAGGGTGCGAGTGTGGGATGTGAGGTCTAGTTTTCTTTTCGCTAGAACCCAGTGGAAACGTCACATTGAAATCAACATTTTCGAACTAAATTCATAAAGTGATGAGCGAATTCACACTGCTGAAGAGACATTTTGTTAGGAGTGACATGACAGTTGAGTCCTTCATTCCTGTGCATATACTAAGCAGAACTGAACTGATGAATACGCTTCACTTTCATGAAAAATATGGCGAAACTATATAGCAGATGCCATTGCTGTAAAATAATTCAAATAGATCGATTCATTTTGTTTGTTCAAAATTTGATTCATGATTGAAACCATTCAGATCAATGGTTTCACCGAAAATCTGTAGAAATTCTGTGATATTTTGATTTTAATATATATTGAAATATATCAATAAAAATGTCAATATATAGCCAATCAATGAAAACGAAAGCCATTTGATAACTAATATCTAAGCGATGATGACTTGAAATGTTCGAATCTGCATTGGATTGAGAGTGATTATCGTCACGTTCGACAAATATTGCTCTTAAAAATAAATAAGATATAGACATCATATTATTCGAGACATGTTTCAATGAAAATATAACTTACGAAACATATCAATATGTGACGATTCTTGATCTTTTGTTATCCAATCGAGTCGATGCAACTCGGACAATGGTAAATTGGCAGTTAATATCAATTCAGTCATCTCATTTATGGTACCAATACTTTTGAACAATGTTTGAAGATCGATGGTTACCGATTTTGAGTAGAATTCATCTTCATTCAACTCAAAATAATGTTCAACCCGCACAAGATATTGTTTAGGAGCTAATTGATCAAATGTTAGTAAGTGCACATTTAATGGCATTGCATCCGACAGAGCTGACCAACTTTGACGAAACATATCTGAATAATTCGTATAAGACGATGTGTTTGGCAAGGCATAAGTCGCCAAAGGATACATAAACAATTGTTGAGCACCAATTCGATGTAATTGAGCACTATTTGATGGTCGATCAAAAAAAAGAATATGTTTGCCAGAAACAACAAGACCTTTGTCATAAGCAGTTTCATTTAAAGCTTCATCAACACCCATTGAATCATCGTGTAATAATCGACGATGAACCATAATTTCAATTGATCCATCATGCATACTTCCACCACCTTGGGATCGATCTATAGAACATTGAATGAAAAATGATTTTCAATCATGAAAAGAATTTCTATTCGAAAACTGTCGTTTACCAGTAAGAATAGTTAATTGTCGGTCTTGATCTCGAATCCAAATACGACTATTAATTGGATAATAATTGCTACTAATAGGGTCATCAGGCACATAATGCCATGTTGGTCGATAATCACGAATACGTTCAAGAACTTGACGTCCGTTAGCATCAGTATAATATTTTTTTTCACTCTTAATATCGGTATTATAACGAATAATAATCTCTTTACCAATATTATCATCCACTGGAATCGGTCCAACTATCCATTCAATTTCAATTGCTGATGTGTTACGGTAGAGACTGAATTCTTGACTAGTCCATTCGTTGAAAATAATCGATGCTTTTTGTACAATATCTGTTTTCATACAATGTCTATTATTATTTTTCGAAATAAAACAATCTTGAAGAAAATCATCTATTAAACAGAATTACTCACATGTGACGCGTAATACTCACAGGCAATGGCTCCGGAAACAACGGTTGAAAGATGTAAGCACCTGATGCTGGTGAAAGTGGAGTACTATTAGCATGAGCATAACCTTGAACAAAAAAATATATGAAAACTTCAACTATCTTGAACAGATCTAGATCAATGACATGAACAATATTACTTACTAGTATACCAGTATAAACCTTGTTCAGTAAACGATACTATCAAATTCTTTGCTAAATTGACAATATGCTTCAAATCGCCTCGATCATTAAATTCTACACGCAAATACTAGTAATAACAAAATAATCTATTAGTATGACCATTCAAAAGTTATATCCTACTTCATTCTGTAGAATACATGCTTCATTTATCGTTGTTGTCACTTTCTTATGTTCGATTTTATTCGTATCAACTATTACAAAGAAACGAAATTTATCGGTGATTTCAAAATTAAACAACAGTAGTCAGCTAGTTCAAACTCTAGCCATTACCTTTTGCTTCAAAATAATAGGTATTGTAACCAAGCGCTGGCAATGATGCTTGTAACAGATATTGGTTCTGAGCAGAACTCATTCGACCAGGAATATTTTTCATTGTATCTGGAATCGGAAGATACTGCAAGAAACAAAAGAAAAATTGTGCTTTTGTTTATCGTCGTGCATCTTTAATTGTATACTTCAGCTCGAACAAGATTTCCTATCGGATCACGAATTAAATATTCTCGAGTGACAGGTACACGAGGATAAATTGTTACCGGATGAATGGTTGGATTCCAGAATGTTAATGTAAACTACATAAAGAATTGAAATAATCTCTCATATCCGATTTGAAAAAAAAATCATATTCTAATTAATCGATTATTTGAATGAATTATGTACAAGAATTCCACATACTTGATTTTGTCCTTCAATCGGAAGACATGCACTAATATTCGAGTAGGGACAGAGAAATTGGTGAGGGATCGATGTCGTTCGACTTTCTTTAGACAATAGTTTCGCATAGGCATCATTGATCACTTCCTAAAGAATACTCATTTTGTTGCATTGTAATTGCATGTCATAAGACATACTACTGCTCGATCGATACCATCGGAGAGTCGTTGAGCATAATCATTAGCGACATGTTGCTTCGATGTTCCACTAACTGCATCATGATGTTGAGCAAGTCCCATTGCTTCACCTGTTTAATACAATTAACGATTGATAGATTAAACAAATGTACGTTTTTCTTACTCAAATCGAAAATGATATTTCGTAGATTCGATTGTGAAAATCCATTTAGTTGACGAGTTACTTGAAGAATATTATTAGCATAACGTTCATAACGTTTTAATGCTGGTCTTGAAGTATAATAACCTGTCCAGTATACAAATGGAGTACTGGCATATGGAAAGAAATCATCGGTTTTCGTTGACCATTTTTTTTCCGCTTTATTCAAGGCGTATAAATAGCATGACGGTGTTGAATAAAAGACGTTAACGTCACTACCATTCTCTTGCTGAGAATATCATCTCGGATAAAGTTAATCAAAAAAATTTGATAATGAACTACCTGAAGATTAACATAATGAATTAATTTATCTAAATTTTTGAAGTTTTCATGAGCGTTCTGATTATAAAAATCACCGCCCATTGTCATGATGATATGATTGGTGGCATATATTTCACGCTACAATCAATAAAAATAGAATTTGTGAGAAAAACTTCTTTTTAAACAAACTTGAGCTAATGCCTCCCCGATGAATATTTCAACACGTTCCGGTACATTATAGTCGTGTAAGCTTTTATCATCCTAAAATTATTGAATTCATCAAGAAAGTAGAGAGTTAATAAACAACGACGCACCATAATTGGCGGATCACGACAGGTAATATCAAAACAAAATGGTGGCGGACCAAAATAATAAAGTGGCAGAATACCCGTGAAAAGCCAACTTTGACGATCTACGAACATCTCAATATGAAATTTTGAAGATTTAGAATGAAAGTTCATCATAGATTCACATTTTTGCAGAAGAAATCTGATCGAATCAAAATAGTCGAAAAGCACTAACCTAAATTGCTACTTGCTTGCCACACCATTTCTCTAGTCCTTTCCGTAGAACGAATTATGAGATCGTGATAATCTGCACGTCCAAAAAATAAACCATCAAAGCCCATCTATAGAGAAATAATATTTGTATCATGTATTAGATCTTTGAACAAATGTAACCTGTGCAAAGAGTGAAGCAACTTCTCGCGAATGACCAAATGGATCGATTTGCCAGCCAATTTTCGGTCGTGCGCATTCACCAAATGTGTCATGCAAGAATTCGGCACCTAAACTATGTTGATCAATAATCGAATTGTAATGTGTTGCTGCTTCATCAATCATAGACCAACCACCTGAAATAAACTCCAGACGACCTATATATATATATATATGTGTATGTGTGTATTAAACAATATAGATTCGGCTGACACAGACCTTCATTAACCAGTTGTTTGACTGTGTTACGCATGTCGTCCGATTGTTGATTCCACCAACGCCAAAAAAAAGCCATTTCGACATAGATAAATCGACGATCGGAATTTTCTACTAATGCCTGCACAACTGAATCGAGAATATATTGAACACCTCGTCTAACAATTTCTCCACGCGCTAAAAGATCAACTCATAAAATAATTCATGATTATCTTGCGAATCAAGCTATAACTCACATCCATAGTAATATTGATCGACTGTTTTTAGCCAACCAACATCGTCATGTGTATGAGCAACAATATGAACATTGAGTTTATCCGATTTACCCAAGTTACATGACTAAAATATATGAGTATGTATCTATTTGAAATATTTGACATGAACGCGCGCTTTCTCACATCATAACCACAACCGTTTGATAATTTGTATGGTGCTGTAAAACTTTGTGTGACAATAAAAAGAAGAATTGCACAAAACTTTATCACGTACATGATCTATAAATATTGGTCATATCATTGTAATGTTAATGATAGTAACAAGTTTCTTACTTTAAGATGATTCTCTACAAAGAAAACCAAGCTGTGTGTGCTTAAGTTTGAAACTCAAAGATAAGAATGTTAATTATCACCTATTCATCTGTGCTACTCAAGATAGGCAGGTAGAGATGATAAGAAATACCTTTCTTCAATTCTACCAACACGATGAGCTCTATCTCAAGGTATATTTCGATTTTCAATAGTCCAAACCCTGTCATTGAAACCTCCAAATACTGGTATTTCGACTAGTATGAAAAATTTGATCATACCATTGGATAGTGCTTATCGAATCCTACTTAGAATCAAAATAGACACGTTTAAAACAGCTGCACAGGTGAAAAAATCAGACACATAGTACTGGTCAAAAGCATCCCCTCCCCCTTCGATCTTAGTCCCCATAAGAGCTACATGTCTGGAAACTGGTCTATAGGTAAGGTGCCGCTAATTCAAAATTTAGGCAAAATTTTATATTTTCTTTTTATTTATACATATTCTGATAGCTCTTGTCAAACTGAACCTTACTTTTCAGAAAAAAACCCTATTTTCATGATGAAATTCGCGAAATACGAAAAACAGTGACATTTTTTTTACACATTCATTTCCAATAGAATGCTTCTATCTGTTCTCCATTCAGAATTATACTTCTAAAACTATTCTTTTTAGATTCTCCTAGTAAAACGGACTCTTAGCATGCGATTTTTAGAGTTATAAAAGATCGAGTGGTCTATAGAAAAAATAAATTCGAGAAACGGTGTCAATTTTTGAAGAAAGCTATCTAGTTTTTTGTTTCAAAAGCTAGAACTTTGAATCTAATGCCATTCGATGCGCCTTGAGCCATAGATTAAAAGTATAATTGCACTTTTTTTCTTCCTCTAAAAGATATTTGCCTCTCATTTCAAGGATTAAAGAATCAGGCAGGTGATTTTTAACTTTTTTCTTCATTTTTCATTCAATATAGCTCAAATTCATAGAGACTAGGTAAACAAGGATGTTGATCACGATGAAAGGTGTTTCAGAATCAGATGAGGATTTGTTCGGGTAGGTTACTTGTACGTCATTACTCAGTAATTCACTTTTTCGGTTTTCGCTACTGAAAATGGTTACTTTTTTCAATTGATATCTTTCATAAGAGAACAACAAGGTAGCTTGAACATTTCTACTAGTTGAACCAATTAACCGTTCGGTTTCCAGAGAATGAATCATCGACTGGGAGCACAGAATGAACGTGATTCTGATTAAAGTTTTGTTAGGTAGTAGTTGTACATCTCTATTCGTTCTCTTTTTGTATATGTTCTTTCATTGATATTTTCTTTTCATTCTTCTTGTCTGTAGTTTTAACATTTCATTTACATGTGCGAAACCAAATTATTATAACCAACCGAACGAAATCATTTATCTCCTTGAATCAAATCAAGAGACTTAAAATTTGCTAGTAGAGTACGGTCTAAAATAATGCAATTCATCGTCTTACGAATAATGGAATATTTGCACACTAGCAAGGAAAATAACTAATTTACTAATGCATTATAATTATGATGCATGGATAGTGAACATGACATCGAAATAGTTCAATGAGAAATTTTTCTTTTGATCTAATAGCATGAAGAAACTTTAAAAGAAACAATAAAGAAGTTCACGAATTTCAAAGCCAAACAATCCAATCATCACCTTCACAAGAAACTAGAAATGGCTTTATTTCGCCATCATTTCGATATTGTTTTTTCAACAGTCCAGAAGTTGATTCCAGGCTGTATATTACGATTTCCATCCATCCAGTTAGTTTTAAGTAGCATGAGATGAAGAAGATGTTGATTATCAAGTAGCACATGAAAACTATCAAAATAGTCTTTGTTCATCCTAAAATGAATTTTAAGTGAACGTAGATTTGGAAAACACCACACGAGAGACATGTTTATTTTCAAAGAAGATATTTGGATATTTTCGAGAGTTAAATGGCTTATATGTGGGTAAATAGTCGAATATTCAGAAAATCTAAGCGTTCCAATCAGTGTCAATGTATGAATGTATTGTCCAATCATTGAAACAACTTCAATATCTCTAGTTATGAGATGACGAAGTCGAGGAAAACTACCGGTACTAAGTTCAGTTTTGCATAATATTGCGAGTGTATTGATTTTTGAGAAGCCTCGAGATGAATTTGAACATCGTACGTCAATCGTAAGATCAAGAACATTAGGAGAAACACTTATCGTATCTTCTGTGGCCAACATCGATGTTTTCAACTGTTGAAACGACCAAGCTATTGTATATAAATGACTGTAAAACTCATCAAACTTCTTTTGACATACAATTTGCCATCGTTGATTGAATCCAGCATAAGTCTAAATTTGAAAAAACGAGTAATAATTAGTAAAGGTATCCAAGAAACAGAGAAAGTGAGAGTTTGAACTGATAGTCATAATAATACGACATTATGTTCGAATATAACAATAGAAATATTGAAGATGAGCCATAAATTGATCAATAGTCATTTCTATTTGATAACCCTTCATGAACACATCAGGACTATTCCAATTTTTTATATCGAGTGTAAATATGTCGAGTTGACCAAGAAACTTGACAATATTGAGCAAATATTTAGATCTCATTTCTATTTCATACTTCGTTGTCAATCGAAATTTAGTTAAATAAATCATTGGAAAAATCATCGATTTAAATGCTAACAATAATCGACTACTGACATAAGCGTTGCACAGAGTAACATCAAGTTCAATCAAGTTAGGTATAATACCATCTAGTAGAACAATTATATGACTAGATATTCACACTCTCACTCTCATTGACGCCCACCACCATCCACACGTTCAAAATAGTGATCTAAATTGAGATTTGATAATCACGATTGTATATATGTGATATAGATATTCAAAATTTCAAGTATTTGGAAATTTAATATTCACATTTAAATCAGAAATAACATCGATCGATCTATAAAATATTTTTCTTATGTTTCTATACACTATGCATTCACTTTCGACATATCATAGCAGTAGAATCATCAAGAAAAAATGTTAGAGACATAAAGAATTGAGAAAACGAGTGTTTATAACAAATGTCTTTAAAACAAATCGTACGAGCATGTCAAGATTCATAACTCTCGGTACATTCAATTGAAAATATTGCCTATGATGACATAGATAAAGAATAAAATATACTTGTTTAATATCATCGATCTTTTCAAGACTAAATTCTGTTTTTATTTTTATTATTGATCAATATCGAAGAATAAATCTCTTCATTATTGTCAAATAACCAATCTGATTGAATAAGTGATAAAGATGAAACTTTCAATGAATTAAAATATGGTAATAATTGGATAATTTTAAGCGGCATTTCAATAGAAATGTTCTCACAGTTCATATTCAAATGAATAAAATGAACAACAATATAAGTAACGAATTGAACTGAAAGATTGGTCATAGTTTGTCGATCAGACATAATAATATGTGTATCATAATTGTAACTCAGATTTCTCTTATTAAACTATGAGCCTATTTCTGAGTGTTCTTAAATATCAAGCCATGTATTACTAAAAAAAAGATAATATTATCAATAGGAAAAACTCGAATGAATGTATCTATATGGATGAATTGAGCTATTTTTGTATGATCAAAATTATTTTCATTATTAGATAAAAAGCATTGACAGTTTTTTTAGTCGAATCCACGCAAATAAAGTATACTTGTTCCGATTAATAGTTCTCAGGCATTAGTATCAAAATGATCTGTATTTCTATGATATCTGATACGCAATACTTGCACTAGAGCGAACAATTTCGTCATGAATAGTCCAAAATGATCAGATGATCTCGTATAAATATTCATATAAATGTGTGTTAAATTAAATAATCTTATCCAGTTTTTGTATTGCAAATCATTACCTCGTTTTGATATATCTCTACAAATCAGATGACGTAGTTGAGGTGTGTGACGAGTTATAGCAAAGAGTTCAAAGAAAGAGCAATGATAATCGATGACTAAATATTTAATAGTACTAAATTGTTCGTTGATAGCCAGAGGAATAACGATATTTGGATTGTTACATTGAGAGACTAGAGGTAACGATAATTTATTATATTTCAATGAAAGAAAAGAGAAAATTGTTTGATAGATATGCTTGAGATATTAGATCCATCGTGGACGTATTGACATAGTTAATGAGAAAAGATGAGGTAAAGGCTTCAAATGAAAAAAAAGAAATAAAGATTTATGGGCTTCAATATTTTTAAGAACACTTGATTGAAGATGGTTGAAAGATGAATCAAAGATACAATACGCAAAAAAATCATTGATGATCTCTGTAGCTTCCAAAGTAAGTGAAAGAAAACGATGTTTATTTGGAAGAATAATATTTTCATATAATTTTATGAGTTCTGATTGTCTTTTAGAGTATACTTTAATTTTGAGTAAAACTGATAAACAAGCAATAAGATGTTGAAAACGAGAACTTAGATTAGAAAATCTATGATAGATTTCACAACCATTAAGATAATCAAAAATTTCATACAAAAGTTCGTTTGATAAATATTCAATGCAAGTAATTGATACACTAAGAAAGATTGAAGAAATAGAATTCAATAAAAAACAACTACTTGTTATTACTTCATTTTCTTCTTTACATGTGACTAGAAAAGTGCAGAAAGCTATTGATAATCTATATTTATCATTCAAAACTTACGTAGTAATTGTTTTATCTCATCCACTAAAAATTGAGCCATATTCATGTTGAAAACAAATAGAATCTACGACGTTTAGAAAATTTGATAAAGTGATAGAGCATGCATTATACTCCCTTTTTTTATAATGACATAAGATCAACATGATAATCATCTTTAAGAAAAATGTTCTTTAAATCAGATGCCTAGTCAGTGTATTTAGTCTGAATAGGAATATTATTTTCGTTCATCTACTCTAACCAATTAGAATTTAATCGACGATCAATCAAAGGCGCAGATATGTGATTGGAACAGAATATCTACGCTCACACCTCAATTTATGACAATTCTATAAAATAAATGTGCTTAAAAACGAATAATTGTGCTGAAAAATCATGCAAAATGCTTTATAATTCATTGAAATGCTTAAGTGAATAATTTCGTAATTATTTTATCTTTCACTAACAATATACTTCATTTCATAACCCATATCTCGAATGAGATACTGTAGTAGAGTCAATCAACAAGTTTCCTGACACTCTGATGTTAAACTAAAACTGATTGAAGACCGTCGTCTAATTCCAGTTGTCTTATAGTCAATAGTTTTCTCTCTACAAAAGATTCTGAAGATAAAGCAAATCCTATCTTCCTAGATTCTCTTAACGGTTCTGTGTAAATATTTTCTACTCATTATGCCTGATGCGATAAGTTTAGTAATTATATGTTCGGTTTCTAATAAAATCTATTGAAAATTAGATATGCAGCAAATTTTTATTTAATTTTTGCAAAACCTAGTTTTCTTTCATATGACATATACTGATATGAACACTAAAGCACACTTTTGAACCGTTGATTGCATCAAAGTAATATCTTCACTGAACGAAAAAGACGTTAGTCCGTCGAGTTGAATACAGTGGTGAGAACAGAATGTTGTGCAAGAACTATTTTTCTCGTTAACATCAAAATAACTCGAAAAAGTAGGTTTTTATATTTGTTAAAAGCTTAATAATACTTGATATATTTTTCATAGGATTTATATGTTATCTTTTATATTTTCCTTTTATCAATGGCTTCAGTCTCTCGTAGGGAGAAAGCAAATGTAATACTCAGAAATCGAGAAAGAAAGAGACGTGAAACAATGATTCTCTCATGCTATCAAACGCATCGAATGTAAAGAATATATGACCGCATCAAATATCGTTTATCACCCTAATCAACGGACTTATGAGTTAACTAGCATCTGTATAAGCAGATGTGTTGTTTTCCAGGGTTTTAAATAACCTTTGATA